CCCCCCCCCCGCCCCGCCCCTCCTCTTTGAATAGAGTTCTTTTGAGGGGGGGGGGGGAGGAGGTATAGAAGGACGAGAGAGTTAGTCTTGAAGGAAGCAGTCTTGATAAAGTTTTTGGGGGGAAAGACCTGAGAGTGAAAGCGTATATTCATATATATATAATCTTCTAAACAAGAGTAAATTTCTCTAGTTTATTCTGTCCCACTTGTATCATGGTCTTGTAGGGTTCCCAGTGAGCCGGATCAGAGTTGGAGGGTACAACAACTACCGCTGATTGGGGAGAACCGCTTGTTCCACCTTCCTCATCTTCGTGACCATGTGGATGAGTATCAGAAATCGGCGGATCATCTGAAGAGTCTTCTGACTTTTTGATACGGTTATCCATATCTATACCACTTTCGACTGCTATAGGCTTTGTTGATCGAACGTATAGACGGTTTTTCGCTCCTGTAGGTGAACACATAGGTCCGACAGCTTCAGTATCAGACACCGACATTGCATTTAGAGTAGATGCTGGTTTCTTATTCATCATTGGGTCGGCACATACATGCGAGAGTAAAGCCATCGGTGGAGGTGGAAGAGGACAGGTAAAAGTGGATCCTGACTGTTGATCCAAGGAAGATCGACGATGGAATCCCATTTCATTAGGAAACCATTTAAAGGAGGACGATATATGACTTGAGGCAGATGGTTGCTGGGAGGCCGAATGATGTTGCTCCTTCTCATCCAGGTTTATATCTGTAGCGCCGCTTAGACTTCCGCCTTTTCCACTACTCCATTCAGAACCAGAACTCGGACCTCGTCCAGAATCCCTATCTTCAATTTCATACACCGCAGGGATTGAAGTGAAAGAAGTCTTAGTTGCTGTCGTGGAAGGCGTGTGAAGACTGAGTTGTGGCGAAGGATATAAACCACGAGAAGGAGTAGGTTCTGAGGCTGTGTCACATATAGTCGGTGCTACAGTTATCTGCCCAGTTACATTTGCTGGAATTATATCCGAAGGGGCACTTGGCATGAAGATTCCAGCGTCTGACATCTTCATAGCGTACTCTTGCGATCGATTGTGTCTTGGACTAATGTGAGAAATCCTGGGAGCACTATCAAGGCATATAAAGGAGCAAACAGTTTTGGGAACAAATCCAATCGGGCCTGTGCCTGATCCGTGATCCGTGCACCACTTCTGGGCCAGGTACCAACTGGTGGAAGATGACGATTTATCCCCACACGTTCCAGGATATGGGATAATTCTAAGCAGATCACCTCGACGTACACTGATAACTTTGTACTTCTCAATCCATTCCATTGTGGGAAAGTAGTCCTCAACAGCTTTCGCAGTGGTATGCAAAATGTGAGCTTCCTTTGAAGAGCTTCTACTAGAGATTGGTCGTGGACAAGTACTGTTTGCAAGGTTAAGGGTCTGGGGGCGTTTGTAAACGTGAGTGGTAGAGTATCGAGGAATAATCTGAGGTGTTCCGACAGATGGAAGCAAAACTTGCTGTTGTATGGGATGCTGTGGAGGTCGTTTCAATTGAGGAGTGGACTGGACAGATGATGTGCTTCGAATACTTCCACCGGATTTCGGTTTCCAGAAAATACCAAATTCGTTTTCATCTTCACTGGAAGAACTGCTAGAGGAGTCACTGGATGCAGATGAAGAACTGGAAGAATAATCTGCGTTATCGCGCAGATGTCTTCGAGACGTCTGTCTCTTTCTTCGATGCCGGGTAGACTTTGTGGAAGATCGGGATATTTCGAAGCTTGAAGAAGAATCTGAACTCGAGTTTGAGCTTCGAATCCGACGAGATTTGGAGGTGGATGCTCGTTTTCCTCGATCAGAATCGGTTCTCTTCCCTTCAGTCTCTTCATCGTCTTCATCTGAACTATCACTCAAATCATCCTCATCTCCTGTTGATAATGACAACCACTGATTTTCAACAGACGACTGAGAAATCATTGAAAGAGCAAGGCTTTCCATCGGGTGCTTTGGCTTCGTTTGGAGCCTCGAAGTCACTGTAGAAGGTGGAGGCGAAGGACTTGCAGACGCCTGCCAAATTTGAGTAGGTTTTATGGATTCGAAGGTCACCATAGCAGAGCACGATCTTCTCGATGAAGTACTTCGAGTTCTAATTGAGCCACCAAATTTATCGCCTTCGTTAATAACGCGCAATGAACTATCCTTCCTACATCGAAACTTTCGTTGACTTCGAAAATCCGGTGTGATTGACTTTGCCTCAACTGGAGACAGCGCTTCCCAGCGCGAGTTCTGGTTAGTCTCACTGTGATTTCGTGATTTGGACTTCGATTTCTTTGTTAATGCCTGGAGCATTTGTCTAAAAAGTAAAGTGGAAAAAAACATACAAAGCCCTGCCAATGACAATTGACAAGAGGTGGGACAATTGAACCAAAAAAAGAGCCCCCTTCCCCTTTTGAATAATTTGTTACACATTCTACTCAATTGGGACTACGTGAGGCTGAGTTATTAAGTTCTTTGTGTGTTATTTTTGTTAAAAGCTTTTTGACTTTACTTGACACAGACTGCTCATGTGGATGCAACAATGAATCTGGTTGAGGTTCTAACAGCAAACACCCCCATGAAAATTAGTTTAATAATTAAAAGGTATTTATATTGAAAATTTCTTCTTACTCCATAGGATAGTATGGAAAATCGATGTTTGGAATTAGTTTTTTCATGCTTATATTTTAAAATATCATTTCTAAGAGTGAAAATAAGAATTTTGATGCATAATATAGGTATATATTTTGAGTTTGGAAAATGAATATCGCCTCACTTGCACATTAGTTGAAACAATATTTACTGAATAGGGAGTGTAATCTTAATATAATTGGTGAAAACTATCAACCAGAATTGAATTAATAGTATTTCCTGACTGAAATTCTAATGTTTGTGTTTACTGGTAAATATATGGCTTACGAAATCTGTGGACACGAATTAGGTTACTATGGAGGTCGAATTCAACTAATTGGTCTGTGGCGCCAAAGGTGATTTATTAAAACCGGAGCAAATCCAACTCCTTGCTTCGTCTGAGTTAATTAAATTCTAAGATGGCTTTGAAAGAAGCATTTAGGATAGCGTCAATGGTCCCCCATCTCCCCGTAAAAAAGATGATTCATTTTCGGGAATCAAAATTAATTCTCTTGTGCATAAAATCTATATTCAAATTAAAGCTAATATTTGTAATTTCCCCTGAAATAGAAAGATTTGCGCAACAAGAACACACTCCTCACATCTGGAAGTCTTCTTTAGAATCTGGTTTATCAGAACACAATTCATACGTACCATTCGGATGATTACATTTCCTAATTCAACTTGTGCACTGGTGAGGTGTGCGATAGGCTTACCTCCACGTGGTGCACCCTGGGCAACGTTTACTCATACGACAAAAAAGTCTATTAACTGGCAGTTGACTTCTGACTTCAAACTACCATAGCCCAACTACTTGTCATATTCAACCCCTTTAACAGCACTCATCTTACCTTTTTCTCTACCTTTGTGTCGGTCTGCCTCTTTTACACCTGTGAATCGCTTTTCTGTACTCCACCCCTCGACTTTCTGCTCTTTTGATGTCCCTTCCCTCTGTGAAGCCCGAAGTCAACTAAAGGGATAATGATAGCTAACAAAACGCCTGCCATTTGAAATAAATAAATAAATACTTGTGCACTGGTTGGAGTGGTACATAATGATCATTCTCCCGTGAATGAATAATTATAAGCTGAGGGCGGAACCCATTGCTAACTTATTCGATTACAAAATTAGGGAGGAAAGAGCTGAAGAACTACTGGAGCTCAGTAGGATGTTTTAGTAATCTCAAAAATTGTATATCGTCGAGCGCTCTGACAGGTAGAACGATCGTTAATCAAATCATCAAGCGTAAAAATATGAGGAAAATTTCGAATTTATTTCGACTCTGTTTGAAACTGCAAATATTTTCATAATTTATGAATTGAAGTCGATGCAATTTAAAATTTAATGCGAAGAGTCGAGTACAAAATGAAATTAAAAACAGGAATGACTTAATTAGACGAGGGAGACATGCCATCACCACAGCGGCATTTATATTTAACTAAAACAAGAAACCATTCATAATCAAAACAGTAGCATTATATTAATTATAATAAATACTTAGTAAATTTTGTCATGACGATCAAATTTCAATCTGTTGGATATTTATTAGTAGGAAAGGTAAATTCCAAATCAATTTAATTTTGCCGTGAAACAGTTTGGTAATTAAACATCGCTAATAGTCAGGCACCACCATTGCCAAGTCTTTATTTCTAATTTTAGAGCCTCAGATAGGCCTTTCTTTCAGAAATTTAATCATATTATCCATAGCTGAGAAATAATGTTTGAAAAGAAAGTAAAATACCCCATTCTGTTTGCTCACTAAGAATTCGAAATTGCATTTAGATTTGGTAAATACGCGATTTTCAAGTTCCGTCTTTGAATGCAATAATCGTGAAAACAAAATCCTTAAAATTTCATTCAACCGAACTAATTAAATCTACGTGAAATGATCAAATTCGAAAAATTGAGCGAGAGAAAGGACTCACAACCGGATGTGGATTTCCCAGGGACTCAAACAACGCCAAAGATGCAAGTTAAACGAAACATCAAGTTCGCATTGGCATTGGGAGAATACGTGTTACCGAGGGGAATGATACAAAACATTTCCTTCCCCCTCAATTCGGAAAGCGTTTAAAAATCCTTAGTGCGTTAAAAATAATGCCTTCTATCCGAATACAACTTTCTTTTGGTATTACGAAACGCTGATTCAACAAAACACAGTCCAACAATTCGCCTTTCTTCATTTCAGTTCTGCTCTGTCGCCTTCTCTTCCTCCACCACCACCACCACCTCCTCCTCCTCCTCCTACTACTACTACCAACTGTTTCGGCAAGTGAGCTTTTGGGTCAGTTGGTGCATTTATATCACTTAACACGAAATTTGAAGCGTTACTCAGGAGGCAACAGTTGTTGCGTGACAGACAGACAACCTGGGGGCAATAGAGGAGTAAATAGAGCAAGAGTGTAAGCCTGAAAGAAAATTTGCCAGCATTTGCACTATTGTTACAAGCTATTTTTATCATTACAGCACTCGCCTCCACTTTCAATCCCTCTCTCATTTGCTTTGCTTGCTCACAAATTACTTGGTGACTCTGTGCTTTTATCACCCAACACCTGGAGGGTCATCACCTAGAACTTTTTAGGCAAATAGAATCGAAGTAAATCAATCAACTCTGCCTTTTGTTGTGGTCACAATTACCTTGCTTCTTTGTTGTCTAAGCGCTATTTTTATTTCAGTGGCAGATACAGCTTCTGGTACTGACTTCGATTTCAATTTGAAAAGGGTTCCTCAATCCACTATTAGCTAATCGGCGGTTTCTGCGTCAACTGTGCAAATTTGAATGAGTCTCCTTTCTGTATGAGTCAGCTTTATCAACCGCACAGAAGCCAAACTGAATTCTATTTACGCGGAAACGGAAAGTAAGTCTGAGTCATGTGACCTTGGCATGTCATTCCAATGTCACTTATAGTCTGACGTCTGCTTTATGGCGGTGTCGACGAGGGATAGTTTCGAGGTTTTGAGAAAGGCAAAGTTATCACTCATTTCGGTGGTTCAATTAGAACCCCATCCCAAAATAGATATCATTCAAATTGGCAATATATGTACTGTTTGGATGAAAATCTTCGACTTATTTAGACTTAAGTGAGAAAAAAATATTTTTTTAATAGATATGATATTATTTACATCGAATATCACATTCAAACAAAATTTTTAGTAGAAAATGCACATTTCTTCCAAAGACGAAAATATTTTAACAACAAAATCGTGTCTAGAAGTGAATTGAATTGTGCTAAAAATACGCTGTTTGCAAGAAGCAAATGTGTAAATTTAATCGCTGCTGAATATGTGAATGTTTAAAAATAAGTTTTCGCGAAATAGTTAAAAATTGAGGTGAAACTGGGCCTAAACAAACCAAGGGTGCTTCATAAATTAAAAGTTCCCAATTACATGCCAAAATCCACCCCCCCCCCACCCCCACCTCCTTCTCTTCCGCGTTCAGAAATTGAACTTGGAAAATGCAGAGCTTGAAAAAAAGGTTAAACAGAGTAAATCCAACTTGTTTTCAGCCGAATCAAATTGATTACGAGCACATCAATCAATAAGCCACCATCTGTTCAGCCGCAAATTATAATATTGAAAAAAAACAAATGCCTATGCATGCTAATAATTTTTTGCTGTTGATCAATAAATCGATTTTACATGAGTCGATTCTAAGTCCTAATTATTTGTTTTAAATAACCCCATTGTATTAGTATACACATTAAGTTAGTGGTGATCAACAAGGAGAGTGAAATTGGGTGACATCACGCAAATCGGTGTGCAATATAAAAAATTAGCACAATAAACAATTTTCTTTTATAATTATTAATTTAGTTATTTGAGTATAATAAGTCTACTTTATAATTGAAATGGCCATCACTTCGTATATTAATAATTTTTTACTAAGTATTAATGAAAAACCAATAATATTGTGACAAGTTATGATTGTATTTGTCCTTTTATGTAAACTAAAGTGACACCATTAAAAATAATATAATAAAAATTACAAAACTATCAAACTGCGAGATTAATTGATGATGAATGTTAATTCTCAATGATGAGGTATGCGAGGTAGCTAAAGACAAAATTCTAAATTAAAAATCCACCCAGATCCACTTCACAGACCCATTTGTGTCTTTCCGCAGAGAAATGTCTCCCTGTTTGTTTTTATTTTTTAAATGGCAAAAATTTGGAAATTGAATACCTATTGATCGTTGGGAATTGTAAATGTTCAAGGTAACTTAACTTTGGGTGAAATGCAAACGTGCCTTTGGTGTTTTATAGAAAAATATAATTATTATAAGCAACATATCTAATTCGAATATTCTTTTTTACAATTTAATTATAATTTTCGGTTTGTTTGGGTATCTCAAACGAGCGAAAACTTTAACACAAAAGCGGAATTTAATTAAATATGAACTGGGTTTTAAATTCTATTACCATCCACTTGGTCAATAGATGATAAGGGAGGAAGTTTTGAGCAGACATCGATTGAGATCAATAAAAAATAATATTATTACAAGTAAATCTTTATTAAACAAAACAGACCACATAAGTTTAAAGTTAAAGCTAGTTAAGGAACAGAGGATCAGAGGCTGTCATAATATTCCACTTAAAAAAATATTCTATTAAAAATATTAGAATATCAAGAAGTCAACTTACAAGAATTATTTATCAACTAAAAGCATTTGGATAGAAATCCACAGAAGAGGTGAACTTGAGCAGATAAGCCCTCCACTAAATATTAGCTGATGACTCAAAAGTAGTTTTGATCGGCGAAGTGATGGATGAGGTAATGACGATAATAATAGTTTCTATCCCCCTAGATACTTAAATTGAGGTGATTTGGTGTTAATGCTTTGCAGTGCACGTTACAATTAGTCCTCCCCGCAAATTAGCCAATCAACGAGAGCCTCCATCCCACCAATCAGATGTGAATACTTATCAGCCACCGTTTAACTAATCACGCAAAATGAGTTACAAGTAGGTCAAAGCGAGTGTTTTTCCCAAACATTTAAAAGCATATTTGCTAATTTTTCCATTTTATTCTCCCAATTAAGATCCTCTGAGCTCTCTATCGGGTGAAAACAATGACCCCCCTCCGCCAGTATAGAAAATAATGGGTCTTAAATGTTATCCTATATTATAGCTAAATTTTTCAGGATATTGATTTTTTGACTAATCTTTCTAAAGTAATAATCCTATGAAGTTAAGTAAAGCTAGATATTTTTGAGGAAAAACTTTCCAACTATTCCAATTGGCATAGCATTCTTACTTTCAAGAGCACTTATTGAATGGGAAATTATGAATGCATATTAACTACATTTCTCGGGATAATTTGAAATCGAGATTGCAGACCGTCGTAACGAATAGTTTTAAACTGCCTCAAAGGGGGGGGGGCGGGGAGGAGACTATCTTCCTACGATCTCCGCTTGAGATCTTGTGAGATCGCATTGCTTACATGGCTTTGAAGTGACAAAACTGGCCGGCATAAGTAAATAACCGTTAAAAATGCCTGAGAATTACATATGAAACAAAGAGGAATTGGCGGATATTCTATAAATCGAAAAAGAAAATTTAATTAAGCAAATCGATAATCCAATTTCATCTGCATCCTCATGGTAAAACGTCACAATCTTTCTATTATGTTCTGCATGGTGAAACTTTCCTATTTTTAGTGTCTTAGAACCAAAATTAGCAATTTTTAATTATGAATAGGTACGCGCATGTAAGAAACCATTTGGTTCTACGAGAAAAGTCACGAATTGGCTGAACATTCGGTGAAAATAATATTTTTTTATATTTTAGGTTTCGATTAAAAACTCGCAAGCTTCCGAAGAAAGGAGTTAAAATGACACAGCTACGCGAATTTTTACCACTTTGGCCTAGAACATCAAATTGGATAAAGTACTTCTTAACAGTGCTTCAATTTTTCGCCGATGTAAAATTTGATATTTAGAGGAAAAATTAAATGCTTTTGATGATAAATTACATTACAAATATATATATATATATATATATATATATGTGATATGGCTTAAATTTTATTAAATAGTCAAAGTTTCTATGAAAGATTGGATTTCGATACATCGCCAAAGATTAAGATAGATTAGGGATAAATAGAGTTTCAAAATATTCATTGGTACGAATGATTGTTCCTTCTTTTGCAGTTCTTTATTTAAAAAAATTTCCAAGCTAATTGGCCTCCGCAAATGGTCACAAACTCTAGAATTCCGTAAAAAACACGTATTTCCTTTAATATTTGTTTTTGCACCATATATATCTACAGGCCATCGAGCCTAGAATCTGGCATATTCCAAAAAACATGCAAATATTATGAATAAAATAATGGGTAAAAAATGAATAATTAATAACCAAAACCTCCTAGTGGAAGCTTTTTTTATCCGTACCCTTGAGCGGTGGATTCAGATGTATTCTTTCGAGAATTTTTGAGGCAAACTTATCTATTGTCAGGTCGGCTATTGAGCTGTGTCTGTGGGGTTTCAAGATTCCACTACAGAGGAGGTGACGTATGTCCAGATAAATCGCCTGTGAATGAAGGCCTTAATCAGAAGAGAATTCCAGACCTCAAGATGCAACGAAATTAAAGCTCGAACAAAGGAGAAACAGTGGACAGTGGTACTCTCCGACATAGCCGACTGGCGAAGAATCGAAGCCTTTGCTGAGTTTAGACTACGTACCGGACACGATTGCCTGGGAAAACACCTTCACAGAATGGGAGTGTACACTCAACCCACATGCACCCTATGTGACCCAAAGGAGGAAATGGAGAAGACCCACCTGATTCGGTGTCCAGCCCTAAAGACAACGACGGAAAGCCAGAGTTACTGGGAAGCAAGAAGACAGAT